ACATTTAATAGGTACCGCCCTTTGGTGTAACGGTTAACCGTAGCCGTTGAGCCCTAATTTAACAGATTTGGGAGCACGGGTTCGATCCCCCGTATGGGGTGCGGAAAAAAAAACTTCGAAGAAAACCATATTAACCGGATGGTTTTCGCAACTGCCACACCCTGCGGACGGTTTAATATAGGCTGGGCAGTGATCTTTTTAGTGATCTTTTTTGCATTTGGGCATGTCCCTAACGTGTTTGTCGCGCCTTTTTCTTTCACTAGCCCCCTTTTTCTTCTTTGTCGCCAGTCAGTCGGTGGGATCTTGCCACCAGAGCTTCCAGTAGAGTAACTTGATCACGACCGTGGAAGGCGCCGATTGTAGGCCTCAAGGCCACCAGGCTCTAACTCGACAATTCGGACTGGAGCCTGGCGACGTTTTGGGGGTACCCAGCCAAGTCCACACGTGGACCCAAAATGGAGCCCGCTTGGAACGGTTGCGGCTCACGACGTGTTGGTACGGCTACTGTAGGTGGTAGGTATTTATAATCGGATCCAATGACGGCCTGGTCAAGCCTTGGGATTGGGATGGATCACAAGAGTTGAAAGTGGCCGTGCAGCCTTTTCGGCGGCGTGTGGCTGATAACAACCAAACACCACGATCGGCTTTAGCGGGCTGGCCGTCACGTTCAAGGGAGGAGCAAAACGATAGACACCACATCCACCACGCTTGGGATCCCGAGGAACATGCGAAGTCGGCAAGCCCGCGTCCCATGCTTCACGTTGAGAGAGGAACCCCGCTGGCAGCGAACAGAGCCTCGTGCCGATCGATCCACCCAGGGTGCGCCAGGGCCACAGCCTAGCGGGAAGGGCACGGATGAGGCTGTGATGGTGACCGAGTGGAGAAGGTTTTGCGTGCGAAGCGCAGGGACCAAGACCGGAAAGCTTGCCCTCAAGCTTGGTAACCAACACACATCTTTATTTGCATCAAATGTGATGGTAGCAGGGCACAGCCGGGCCTCCCGAGATGACATCTCCCCGTCCATTTCTCATTATCCTTCCCGTCATCCCATGTGCCCTCTTGCCGCTTCTAGCGCGAGGGCCCCCTGCCCTGCCCCCTCTGGTTCTTTCCGGCAACATCCCGGCCTGCGCCCGTCCCCTCCCCCTGCCGAGCACTAGGCACGCAATGGCGTGGAGTTGAGTTCGAGTCGGCTTGCTCCGTGGGGGAGGAGGGGGCCCGCACACCTGTGGCATCGGATCGCCAAACCCCGGGGGCCCCCCTGACGCCACTCACTACGTTAGGGCGCGAGCGGATACCTACCTACCCATGGACCCCATACACACATACTACACAGACGCGAACGTCCAAAACGGCTGGGGGACTTCATGCCTCGCCTGGAATGTGGGAATGCGATCGCGACTGCATCTTTTTCCCATGGTGGGCGCCGGCGCGCCCAGTGATGTGTGTAATGCTCGGCTCGCCATGTCGGGTGAGCTAGGGCAGAGGATGGGGGCGGGGCGGAACAGAGCAGCAGAGTAGATAAATCTGCATACCGTCGCCCGTGATGGCATCTCTTTTCTTGCCTCTCTCTCTCGCCATCCCGCTGCCTCACTATCGCTCCTTTCCTTGTGTTCTCTCCGGGTTTCCTTCCTGTCCAAGTCTTTACGAAAGTCGCCGCTCCTTTTCACGCAAAAGTCACACGCTCCCTTATTCTCTACGGTCATTACGAAGCAAAGAAGGAAAAAAAGCACATATAACCATGATATTCACGCTTTACTCGGCTGTTGCCATCGTCTTTGCGGCCTCGTGCGCCACCGCTACTCCGATGGCCCTGCCCGACACATCTATCGAGAGTGGGCTCTCGACACACGCTACCAGCATCGGCCTGACGGCGGACGAGTTCCTCAAGAGCAACGGGACCTACAGGGACGCCACCCTGCTGTATGCCCGTGGTTCGATCCAGCCCGGCAACTTGGCACGCCCTCCTCACCTTCTCATCCCAGCAAAAGACTAGACCTACCCAAACAAAAAAAAAAACAAAAAAAACCAGTGAGGCATGCCGGGCACGACCCCTCGCCGACCAGCTCAGGGAGCACCTCGGCACAGACCGCGTCGCCATCCAGGGGCGTGCCCCTTGGCGCCCGGATGCGCGACAACTTGGACGCGGGCAACGCGAGCGCGGCCGAGGTCGGCCGCGCTCTTCTCCGAGCTCATCACAAACGTCACCGTCGCGTGCCCCCCCAAGACCAAGATGGTCGTTCTCGGGCTACAGCCAGGGCGCGCGGCGCTGGGTGCACGCCGCGGTGCGGGACATGCCCCGCGTCGGTGCGCTGAGCAGCGTGCGCGCGCCACCGTCACCTTGGGCGACACGCGCAAGGAGCAGGATGGCGGCGCCATCCCACCGCTGCCCCCGAGGACGAGACCCTCATCCTCTGCCACAAGACGGACCTGACGTGCAAGGGGCACCCTCGTCGTCACGCCCTCGCACCTGAGCTACAACGGCAAGGTGCCCGAGGCGGTCGACTTTATTGCCAAGCGTGTCGCATGAGGAGGGGTGGGTTTAGGCATGTGTTTTCCTGGTTACCGTTTTGATGATTCATTAGACAATAAAGCGAGCTTTGCTGTTGGGGTTATGTTTATACACCATGTATCCATGGTTGGACGATAAGTTAGGCGTTTGGCGATATACAGAGAGAATTTTGGATTGTCTCTCGAGCTCGTCTCAGTGGCTCACTCGTGATCCAGAAAGGTTACCAAAGGTTACCCTGCTCCGTAGCACAATTGCTCGGCCGGAGGTCGACCCGGGGAACGCTAGCGTCCAGCGCAAGCTTGGGGGAGAGCAAGGTGGTGATGCTGATGATTGGCTGTGGCGTAACCTGGGGACTTTGAGGGGATGGATGCACTCGCGCCACACCAGGCTGAGTCACCGAGGAGGAGGCCACAAGCAGCCCCTGAGTGGTCAGGAGCCCCTCATCTCGTCTCTCTCTCTCCCTCTCTCTCTTTCTTTCTTCCTCCCAGTGTGTTCTCCATTGAGACACCAACCCAAAGGTACCCCTACCCAATCGCACCACTCGTCTGCTCGTGCCCTGCCCTGGTCGTACAGAAACCCCCCC